TATTGTATTGTATTGTATTGTATTGTATTGTATTGTATTGTATTGTATTGTATTGTATTGTATGTAATAGCCATGGGCATCAATAATCAGGACTCAATGAAGAAGCTGAGGAAATATGCATATGAAATATGAGGTAGAAGTACATATGTATTTGATATTGTGACATCATTGCAAAAGTGTCATTTTTCTATGATGATGATTTGCTGGAGAGAAAACAAAAACAAATCCGTAATCCATTATTTTAAATCTGAAATAGTTTTTCAATTCTGAACAGCTATCCTGTTTGTTGCCTCCACAGTTGCAATATTGGTAACTACCGAGTATCCAGTTTGTGTCAAAATCAGTTCCTACATCTGCATTTTATGGTGTAAGACATTTAAGCAAAATATTGATTTTAGATGTCTATGGAAATTCTCAGTCATCCAGATCATAGTGCTTTTCAAAAGGCACCTAGGTGCTTGGATAAGAAGCGAAATGTTTTCAAGGAAAAAAAACGAAGTCCAGTTGCCTTTTGAAAAGCACTTTTGGGACTTTGATTGCAGATACAATCTCGGCTCTTCTGCTCACAAAAAGCTATCATTATATACCAGTTAAATCTACTTTCTATTGGGCCTTTTATCAAATTATTACTAGATCTCATATAAATAACTTTTTTTTCAAAGCCTGAATTAAAAAACAGTTCATTCATGTTTAGCTTTTGGTAAATTAAAGCCATTTCTGACTGATTTCTATGGTTGTTAGGAATCAATTTAAGACTCTTGAACCTATAGCCTACCTTTTTTAAACAATGAGCAATAAAGAACAATCAAGCAATCTGTTCACATTGTTTTCTTATGAGAAAATTTTCCAGACTCTTATCTCCCTCTTTTCTTTGTATGTTTGTGTGGCTAGGGATAAAATTTAATTTTTTCTCAATGATTTTTTTATGTTAAGAGTACGAGATATTCTTCAGCTGATCAATCAACTAACAAATTTTAGTTTATTACTAGTTACTCAATTTACAAAGCAAGAGTTCAGTGATGAGATACTTACACTGGAATCTGTATTTTTATTTTTGTAGGATTGCAATTTTGTGCACACATATACAAGAATTCTCCTCACTGAATACAGTGGTTTCTGTTTCAGAGTAAATAACAAGTAGATTGAATCACTAACAGTGTGGTCTACTCTGAGAGTTCTAGAGAGGACCATGAAAATAAACTTAATTTATGGAAAAAACAGTTTAACACGTCCTTCAAATGTGATGGCTCAACTACTTCTCTAAAACTCAGCTATTTTTCAGCTGGGATAAAATCTAGTTGGTGAGAAATGATGCCTTCCAGTTTCTATGGCAGCCAGTTTCATTGTCTAGGTGACAGATAACGTATATACCTGAACTACCAGGCAATAAATTCATTGAAGTTTGCTACACTGTTTAAAATACAAAATTCATTTCTGGACTTAATATGTAAAGTACTAGCATTAGAAGCAGATATTTCTGGTTAACTTGGAATAATTCTGTGGAAAATCTAATTTTGCTACTATACTAACTTCACAATGTTGCCTTTTGTTTGTTCTCAAATGTCCTCAGCTTAGAGCTTTTGATATGTATGCACAAGACTACCGTAGTATTTATTATTTATCCATTTATTCAATTCAGTCAAATCAAATCAGTCAAGATCAAGTGACTCTTGGCGGCTTACAAAAAGTAAATAAATACAAAAAACAGCAATGATGATGAATCAACTAATAGTAAAGCCAAGCAACAGGATCCTTAATATATTCTGAGCTCCAGACACTTCTAAAAAGTTTTTAAAACTTTGCAAAAAGCCAAAGGGTTAGGGCCATTCTATTTTCAGAGGGGAGAATAGTCTGTAAGGCAAAGTCCTTATGGCAGGGGCAACAGCAGGCTAGCATAAAATATGGTTATCAGTCTCCAATAGACCGACAGCAGCTGGACCAGGGTTCTGAAGCTTTCTAACTAAAAACATGGCCTTTCTGATGACTGCCTCAGTACAACTTCATTTAGCCTTCCAGATATTTCTTTACTAGGATTTCTTTTTAGCATTTAGATTTATATACCATTTCACAGTGCTTTACAGTCCTCTCTAAGCGGTTTAGAGAGTCAGCATATTGCCCCCAACAATCTGAGTCCTCATTTTACCGACCTTGGAAGGATGGGAGATTGAGTCAACCTTAAGCCTGGTGAGATTCAAACTGCCAAACTGCAGGCAGCTGGCAGCCAGCAGAAGTAGCCTGCAGTATTGCATTCTAACCACTGCGCCACCACGCTTTTTCCTGGTCAGGGAGACATATTAAGAAAAACATTGCACTATAGACCCCTTTTTAAGAATGCCTTCAAAATTCAATTTCATTGTAACTTCGAACATTCAGTCAAGGACTATCTGTAATTTAATAGATGATAGCAGTAAAGCATGAATTGATTATTTTAGGATAGATTTAGTTTCAATAGTAAAACTGATAAATCATATATCCATTGCATGTCTTACCCATTCACCCACTCCATCCCCAAAGGTTAGTTAAGATGAGGATAAGAAAGACGAAGGATATGCAGTGCTGATTTTAGGCATGTTTTAATTATATGCTTCCCACCCGAAGCAGCCCGGTTGTGTGTACACCAAATATTTAAACATACTTTCTTCTTGGTACAAAAAGGTTTGGTTTAGCCCACTTCATTCTGTTAAGTTTATAGGTTATCAGCTCCTCTGCCAGCTTGTAGTTATAGTGCATTTTTGACAAAAGAAGATTCAAGACTAGATCAAGACTCTTGTAAAAATTAGGGAATGTTATTTTTTATAAATATGCTATTTCAAGATGTACTAAAGTCTGTATTCTAACATTTCAGTTAAGTTTCAAAGTCAAAAATTTAAGTGATGAACAAGAGTGATATTATAAATAATTTTAATACACTTTTGTATAAGGCCCAGAAGAAAGTTTTTGGGGGTGGGGAGGGAACAATGACTTTTTTGGTGATGCAGATCTAAGTGTTGTTTTTTTAATTGCATAAAGCTTTTTAACAGTGAGTATATCTTTAGGAAACAGGAAGTACTACTCTTACAGAAAATCGATATATGGAGTCTGCCTAAGTAATTGTTAATGAACTCCAAAACCATGTATAATATGGCATAGATTTATATATAATATTCAATGGCAATTCTATTCTAAATACTGAAACTTGAAGTTAGTAATAATCTCTTCAAGGAAATGTAATAGCAAGAAGATTGCTCAGATACCTTACTATTCTCAACATGTTCACCCATAAATAGTTGTTTGGATACTTTAGAGAAGACAATGATAGTAAAACAGATATAACCACAAATTGGTCCTTTAAAAAATTAGCTTTTTAAAAAACTTACAAATACATTTGATCATTTCTATTAGCAAGATCAAAATTTAACCTAAAATAGTTTTTAAGAACTCTAACAACAGTGTAGACCATGAACAGAACAGCTGGTAAATATGTCTGGTTGAATATTATTTGTTTACTTGTATGACAATTTTAAATGCATGGCCAATGTTTTACAAGAAGCGGAATACTTCTTAGGAAAAATACTCGCTTTTGGGGGAACCTTCTTGATACATATTATAGCACACAATTTGTGTTTCTTCAAAATTTTATTTCAATTTAAATTAAAGGGCCAGCCAGATCTTCTAATAAGAAATGCATTCATTTGAAGAAATGCTTTCATGGAAGGAAATTTACAATTGTACACATTTAGAAAAAAAACCCCAACAGGTCACATTAAATAACTTTTAGTAATATCTTTAAGCCTTCACACAGATAAGAAACCATTTCCAGTACAATAGTTTTTAATATGAATAGCACATCAAATGGTCTTAAATACAACTTTTTTTGAAAGCCAACACTCCAAGGATTAATGTTTTTTAAAGTATAGCCTTTTGTCCCATGCCAAATAATAAGAGAAGCAAAATCAATATCCAGATCCATCTTTTAACTTTCATATATCTATTTTGATAGATGTGTGTGTACACACACATACATACACACACATATAGATATAGATATATATATACACACACAGATATACAACTTTTAGCATGTCTATATTTTTTTCCCCTAAAAGTGGAAGCCTTATGCATAATGGAGAATAACTTGCCACCTAATATTTCATTGTCTTAGCTATACTAAACCAAAATATAAAAAAGGTCAGAGTACTGTACTGATCTATAATATTACCACCTCTACGGTTGTTTTTGCCTGTCTAAATAAATGATTCAATAGAGGGTTATGATTTTTTCCAATAGATATTACAGACCATTTTGCAAAAGACAAATGACTGCTGAAAGAAACATAGGTATATATCCAACATTATCAGAATCCTATTTGCTGGACTGTATTCCAATTTCCATCATGAAGGCTTTAAAAATTAGCTAAATCAGCAAATTAATCATTTGTAAAATAATTTAACCATATAGATGCTAGAAAACAATAAATAATTGTATAGCATTTTCAGTCAGATTCAATCATGCGGAATTTGAACTTTTATTCTCCCAATTCAAAAAGTTGGCTGGTTGTGATCTCAGTTCTACTATTATGTATAGATAAGATTTTGATAACATACTTCAGATATATTTAGCATTTTGTTATGATCACAGTAACAAAAAGTGGTGCAAAATCAGTCTTTAAAAAAAATAAATACTGATAGTTTGCAGCATTAAGGAACAGGATATTGACACTAGGACAGTTATGAAAATTATGGTTGTTGAATGGAAAATATAAGTTAAATACAACACAACTATTATACTAACGATATGAAAAGAGAGATTCTCTTTATACCCACATGAAAAACAAATCTAAATTAATTTAGCATAATCTTTATAATTTACAATTGGCCAAACACAGCACTAATATAAATGGAGAAGGCCAACATTGAGGAATACAGGTTTAGTGGGTTCCAGAGCTATATTTTTAGTCTACTTTAATTGATGGCACTGCATTATACTTGCAAATACAGAAAAATGGATTCTTTTTAATGCTGCAGTATTTAAGAAATGTGAAATCAGTATTTTCATGTGATCCAACGTATCATTTTACATGAGCTTTCATTTTTCAAAACTCAGTATCAGTATCAGGTAAAAGTTACAGACTAATACATTAACATTCCTCTGCTGTACAAATTAAATCATTTTTAAAGAAATGAGCAGCGTAGGAGTTATATACAGAAGAAAACAAGCATTGTTGAAATGAAACACAAAGTGTCACTGCTAAGCTCTATTGTCTGAAACACAATTTGAAGTAAAATTAACAAAAATTCTTATAATGTATTTCCAAGTCTACATCTCAATTCTCAGAAAATCACTCTCAAAAACAAACTATAAAGCAATGAAAGGCATATATACATTTTCCTCATGAACTCTGAGATGTCATTCTTAGAAGTTGCCAAGTTTCAGTATCAATTTTATTTGCAAGACAATGTTCATCCCAGAAAGCTCACATCTTAGATACATTTCCCCTTTGATTACAATTAAAGCACTGCACATTTTTTAAAAAAAATCAAGGCATATAATCTTATACTATGGTGCCAAATATGCACAGATCACATTGTGCTCGCATCTCATACAAGGTTAAGTGCAAACATGGATTGAATCAGATTTGCTAGCATGCACCCTGTCATAAACTAGTCTACTACCTTCTCTCCTATCTCAAACTACCTTATATGTTTGTTTCATGAACCAATAATCTTTCCCATCCCACCCCCACCCTGGACTTCCAAAAACAAGCGGTGTGCTTGAATTCAGACACAAATATCAAGAAAGTCCACATTGTGCAAGAAAGCAGCAGCTAGGTTTGTCAACTCGGACTAAAAAAATAAAGAGAAGAAAAACAAACAAACTGTTCACTGAACAGCGATTAGCAGTAATGTTCCTCATGAAGTGATAAGAGTGCCTGATGCTGAATATCTAACAGCAAATGCTGAATTTGGATTTAATATTTTAGGGGTTTATAGAAGATTAGGCTTCTTGTTGTGCTGGTCTTTTCAAATCCCTGATCTGTTTAACTAAATAGGTCTTCTCATCGTTAAATTGTTCATCCTCGGTCCTGTCGTTCTGAAACTTGCTGAGAAACTCAATAAGTTTGGTCTGGTTCTTTAAGAGAATATCTAATATAGGCTGCGTCTTGTTAGGATTGGCTACAAACACCTGCAATACAATTTTCAGAAAAATTAAAATTATTAGAAAATATTAACAGATGAATAAGTTTTTCTCTATACAACACATGAAATTTACAAAGACTGAAGTACAATGTACCATATGTAATACATGCATAAGAATTTGTCAGAATCACAATTACACAATGTAGGCAGTGTTTCCATTTTTTTCTTTCTCTCAATGACCCTGTAATCTCTTGCATTGGGTGGGGTGACTCAATGGAGCTGAGCCTTTACTGACCCCTACAGGGTGTTTGGAACAGATATTTTCTCTCTGTGGCCAAAGAGTAAAATATCTGCTGCTTTCTTAGGATCAAACTCACAGCTTTCTGATTGTGAGGCAAGAGCTCTACCTCTAGACCACCATACTGCTCTTTAGGCAGTGTTTCCAATGATTTTTCCAAATTGGGAATTAGGTCACATATCCACAAAAAGCCTAGCAAAATACAAAGAAAACCTATTTAAAAGTTCTATAAATAGACTGAACTTAATTAAGAAACTAAAATCAGCATTTAGGTATTCATACCATAGTTTAGATCTGTTTAGATCATAGTTTAGTTTAGATTTTAAAAAATAAGAATAATTAGATGGATTTATGAATTGCTGACTACGTGTATACTATGATTCTGAAACTTATACAAAAAAAATATCCCTGGCTCCATCCCTTTCCCATTTTTTCAAATCTTACTAGGCAACTTTGTATTACTATGATTGTAAATCAGCATTACCTTAAACACATGGAAGGCTTCAAACTGAATGTTGCGACTTTTGTCCCGTAAAAGATTCATCATTAGCTTGAGATTTTCAGGTTTACTGATGTATTTTGTCATAATTGTGAAGTTGTGTCTATCCAGTAGCAATTCACCAAGTAGCTACAGCAATAAACAAACAGGATTGTTTTTTCATAAGGACTATAAAGCACACAAGTAGCAATAGTTAACAGAGCCAATGGTTGCATTTCCCCTTGCACAATTGTTACCGTATTTATCGGCGTATAACACGCACCGGCGTATAACACGCA